TTTTATGCAGGATCGATGAACAGTTTAATTATCACAATAAGCAATTTTCAAAAATTATTTTTATTCTACATATGTACATACGATTGAAAAGTGACACTATTGAATGATTTTTACATTTTAAGAATGAAGTACTACATTTTTATGACTTCAATGTATTGTCTGTGTGAGAGAACGATGCAACGTAAGATTGTTTTGGTTTGAACATGTTGTATGTAAGTAATAGTCTTTATTGGAGTCGTATCTTAAAAATGGACATAGATCTAAGTACGATAAAAACACTTTATTTTTTCAAAATGGAATTATTTTGTCCATGTTTATTTCATTTATGCACGAAATGTGTGATAATGTAGTATTGTTATGATAATACAGCAGGAAAACGTGTTATCGTGGGATATGCCTTCTGAAGTCAAAAACAAGACGCCATCTACGGCGAAATTTGGAGAATGGCGTGAAAAGACAAGCGGTGGGCTTCACGAACAGTATTTTTTTTACCGTTTTTTATCAAACAATATTCATGGGAATGACTGGGTCAGAGAGAGATAACACTATTTGCCAGTGAGTCACCAGTGGCACTGGGTAGACCAGTGAGTCGATATTATATCCACTGGTGCACTGGGCTTACCAGCGAGTCAGTGAGATAATATTATCTCCACAGTGGCACTGGGCGGACCAGCTAGTCAGTGAGATAATATTATCTCCACAGTGGCACTGGGCGGACCAGTTAGTCAGTGAGATAATATCATCTCCACAGTGGCATTGGGCGGACCAGCGAGTCAGTGGGATAATATTATCTCCACAGTGGCACTGGGCGGACCAGCTAGACGGTGAGATAATATTATCTCACAGGTGCACTGGGCGGACCAGCTAGACAGTGAGATGCCGGCATGAGGGATCGACCATTTGGTATCGTTGGGTTAGCTGGAAGATTTGTTTGAACAACACAGAAAAACAATTACACTGGTCACACTCTTTCACCACCCCACCCCCATGATTTCAAATATTTGACTCTTAGTGCATTTTTGTAATAAAGGTAAGGAGCTCAGTATGTTAATAAACTCCCTAAGTTTATAGTAGTTTGTCGCATGATATGCTTTTATTCGCCATGTTCAATTATGTTAGGCATGTGTGTGTGTGCAAAGAACAGCATTTACATCTAACTAAGGTAATAATTTCATTGCTAAGGGATTAGCTCCAAATGTTAGTAAATCAACAGGTATATATTGAATGAGGTCTTCATTGTAAGTTAATTTAACCTAAGACAGTTTACACATACATTAAAACTTGTATTCAGTTCAAACTTTATTGTATCATCCCAACAATGGTCAGTTGAAAAACTGTTAAATAGTATTGAAAACAAATAAATTGTATTACAAAACTCTGATATTTCCAAGGAACTAAATAAATTATTTGAACAACAGTGAAACAATTGAAAAAAAAAAAAAAAAGCAGGGAGTAAAATCAAGGAAGTTGTAATGATTTGTTTAAATGAACAACTATGTAAAAAATTCAATCCAGCTGTAACATTTTTTTTAATAATAGAAGTCAAGCAGAAAAGGATAACAACATTTTGGGTTACACATTTTCATAAATTTGCTTAATTTTGTTCAATGTGTCCTTTCTTAACTGCGACCCTGCTGTTAAGTTAAACCCAAAGTCAATGATATCTTTCAAATCTACATCTTCTAACCATGGTTTTTTAGTTGCACCTTTTCCAATATACCAAGGCATAATCTTTGATGTATACGTTCTACTTTTATACCAGTGTATTCGGATCATATGACCATTCACAGACTGAACACATCCTATTTGAGGATAACATCCCTGATATGATAATAAATTCGTAGCAACCATGTCTCCAACCTCAACACCAATGCTCTGTTTCTTGATTGCCGCTTTCAGTCATTTTGTAATAGGTTTTCCGAGGTTTACCTAATAATAAAATATAGTTCAGAATAGTTATTTAAAATGAAACATGCTGTGTAAAAATAAATACAACAACCAACTGAGAATATATGTCATATAAAAACCTGTATGTATACACACAGAGCAGTGTGTTGTCAAGTCACCTAAAATTATATCTCTTTTTTTGAATTTTCAAATCATATAGAATCTTTTATTTTATCATTTTTAGTGATAAAAAGACTTTCTCACATCTTTTTGAAAACCACTAGACCATTGGATGAACAATTGTCAAATTGATTGATTCCTTCCTCTATCAGACTACAGTAATTCATTTAAAATATTCTATTACTAGTATCCTGACTGATTGATTTTATATTGTTTTCTCATAATGCATCTGAAACAGCATAAATATGTCAGCTGACTGACTGGTTGAATTATACTTACTCCTTGTAATATTAATGTACTGGTAGTGGGAGAATAAGTATTTTTTTAATGATTCTTCATTTATATTTTCAAGGTTTACATTACTTGGATTGAGAACTAGTTCTGATAATTATTTATTTATTATTTGTTTGTTTTTTTACAGCAAAACATGGTGTTTTTGTGAATATAAAGTTCCTGATGATGTGCAGAAAACAAATCTGTGGTTGAAAAAAGATTTAATGGATCAACTGTTGAAAGTATATACTAAACCTGGTGGTACTGTATTATGTGTTAATGTAGGAAATGGTATGTTTCTTCACATTAACCTGATAGAAGTGTCTTCACTAACTAAATAGCAAAAATATTATAAACTATGATTAATAATTAATTCACTACATTAAGCCATACTTACCTCACACCTTATTAGTAAAAAGATATCCATTGAAAATTTTGAGCATTACTCGATTCATGCCCAATTACATTTCATTTGAATCACAATTCAAAACAGACTAACAGTGGGTAGATGTAGTTTGTATAGAACCCATTCTAACAATTTCAGGTATCAATGAGAGCATACTTTAATATAGTTTATCATTGTAATAACAGCTTAATCTTTTTTTTTATATTTCAGTGAGTGCAGTAAAATCATGCATAGAACACTATACCAATTGTATTTATTTGATGGAAGAAACCACTAACACACTTGAATGTGCTAAAATGTATGAAATCCTGGATATTTATACCAAAAGCAGTGATGAGCCAGAAGACAGTGTGACAGAGCCTGAAGCCAGTGTGACAGAGCCTGAAGCCAGTGTGACAGAGACAGAAGCCAGTGTGACAGAACCAGAAGCCAGTGTGACAGAGACAGAAGCCAGTGTGACAGAGACAGAAGCCAGTGTGACAGAGACAGAAGCCAGTGTGATAGAATCTAACAAAACAGTGAAAGAAGAAAAAAATGAAATATACAATTTCTATGATGACAGCGATGATCTATTCAACCAATAAGGACTAGATGAATCTATGAATAATAGACTAGTGAATCGGTCTTAAATGCTGTAGGTGGGCCTTATAGTTATTATAGTCATCAGTGAT